ACTGTCCTGTAAGAGGCCGTTTCCCAGAATAGGTGATGATCAGATGCTAATTTAACAGGAGGTTCATGGGACCTCTGCTCCAGGAGACAGAATGAGAATTCCACGATCACACACGCTGTGAAATCCAGATTAAGGCATTACCCATGATCCTGAGGGAGTAGGGAGTGTGAGTATCTCAGGAGGGATCTGTCCCCACATTTCCCACATTCCTCTGACCTGCGGGCCCCACCCCCGATGTGGAGGAGGGTCTCTCAGAACCCACCCCAGTGGGTCGCACTGAGAATCCTGATGCAGGTAAATCGGGTGCCCCTTAGTGGACACGCTGAGTGACAGCGGCCTGGGGGGCCGTGTTCTCCCCACCAGCCCCCCCCCCACAGGGCAGCTCATGGACAAGCTGCTCCTTTCTGTTGAGCCCTATCTGGTCCCAGCAGCGGGACCCCATGGATGCACTGATGTGAGCTGTTGAGGGGGGACTGTGGCCCCCAACCCAGACCCTCCCAGACGGTGGACTCCTTCCTTCCATGACCTGCTCATGAGCACCTGCTGTGTGCCAGCCCCTGGGCTAGGTGCACAGGCAGGTCCAGGAAGCTCCCAGCACAGGTGCCACTGCGTGATTGTCCCAGGAGAAGACAGGCCCTAGGAGGTCCCCACATAGCAGAAGGGGAGTGGGGCTCAGGAGAAAAGAGCATGTGGGGAGGCTCAGGACCTGGGAGTGTGGCTTCAGGGTCACACCAGGAGGTCAGGGCAGGCGTCACCAAGGACACCTCTGAGACAGATCCGCAGGAGGTGAAGAGTGACCCTGGACATCTGGGGAACTGCCTGCCTGGGGGAGGTAATGGCCGTGTCATGGCCTCAGGTGACACCTGGCCTGTCGTGTTCCAGGAGCCAGAGGTCAGGTGTCCAGAGCCAATGTGAGCCCAGGTAAGACAGGGAGGAGACTGAGATCAGAGAGGTGTCAGGGAGCCAGATCAGCTCCACCCTGACCTAGAGACCCGGGATCCCGGGGCCAGAAGGGCCTCAGAGCTGCCCGTGACCCACCACCTGCTGGGCAGGTGAGACACCAGGGGACAGGTGGGAGGCACGCCCTGGGCAACGGGGTAGAACTGGGCTCCTTTCTCAGACATGAATATGACCGGAGCTGCCCTGGCCTGGGCGCGAGTGAAGGCTGTGCTGTCCGCCCTGCAGTGTCCCTGAGGGACCAGTTCCCTGGGGCCCTGAGGGCGGGGCTGGGACACCTGACTGCGCACGGCCGCCATTCCAGCGTCTTCCACCAGGGGGCGGTGCCGGCACAGCTTCGCCTGCAGGCCCTGAGCCTGTTGAAGCTGAGACTCAGGGAAGCCCCTGGCCCAGCGCCCTAACAGTGCCCACCTTGTGCACAGGACCCTTCCCAGCCTGGCTCCCAGGGTCTCAGTGTCTATCTCTGGTTGGGCCCTGGGAAGAGCCCTAGGGGCACCCAACATATTTTCAGGGACTGTGGGGTGCAGAGAGGGGTGATGAGGAAGGGTGGACCCAGGGTGGCCTGGACAGGAGCAGGGTGCACAGTAGGCTTGTCTGCTGGGCCCTTGCCTGTCCCTCTGGTGTTTGCTGCTGCGGGTTCCCAGGGGCTCATTGGGAGACAGGGAACTAGGCAGAGAGTAGGGGTGAGGGCAGAGCAGAGAGCAGGGTGGAGTGGGGGTGAGAAGTGGCCCTTAACCTGCCAGAGACACTGGGAAAGATGCCGTGGCCCTGCCCCCACTCACAGGGTGTGTCCCCCTCCAACTGCAGCGGCCTCAGGGAGGGGAAACTGAGGCACCAGAGGAAAGGACCAGCTGCCAGGGACCCTCCTCTCCTGCCCCAATTCCTGGGGGCCTCAGGATGAGCCCCGTGTGGACATACCCCCCTCCCCCCTGCTCTGTGGACACACTGGGGGTGCAGAGGGAGTGGGAGGGAGGTGCTGCCACACCCCCCTTATCAGCACTGCAGGTCCAGGCCGCACCCCTGGGCACACACACCTGCTGGGAGGGCAGAGAGACCCAGACACCCTGCACCTCCCTGCTGCACAGCTGACCACAGGGACAGTCAGGACAGGGCGCTGCAGGCGGGGCTCAGCCTGGGTCTCTCCCACCCATGACCCTCAGGGCCTCCATCTCTCTCCTGCCCCCACCCCACCTGGCTCTCTGGGCCTTGGCCTCACCCCCAGACATGAAGAACAAAGGTCAGTGGGAGTCACCAGATGACCAGGGAAATGGGTCAGAGCGACAGTTTGCTCACACTCACTGGCCTGAGGCCAAGAATAGGGCAGTGATCAGCCTGAACGTGCTGTGTGTCCAGAGCATCCAATGTCCCAGGACCAGAGTCCATAGCTGGGGGTGGGGTGTCCTCAGGGCCTCAGGCTTTCCTCTCAAGGTCATCTATTCCCCGCCTGGATTCTGCTGAGAGGTCAGCCTCCCAGGCTCCACGATGCTGGGAAGAGGGCACCCACAGGACAGACGCACAAGTGTGTCCTGGGGACGAGGCAGTACCAGGTACTGGTCCGGGTTCTGGACCTGCATGTCTGCAGACAGGAAGGAGGTTGGGGCCGTGTACCGGAGTAGGACTCAGGGTTCAGTGAGGAGGTCGTGCAGAGAGAGGGCTGATTTTGGACATAACTGCTACCTTGGTGTGGATGCCAGAGCAGAGCTGAGGAAGAAGCAAAGGGGCCTCCAGGTGTTTTGCTGAAGTGAGTGGGTGGATGGTGGGACCTGATCCAGGTGGGAATATGATCAGACCCAAGGGAGGAGCCAGGGAGGTGCAGGGGGGCTCCCGGGAGGCAAGAATTCAGTTTCCCGCAAGTCCACTGTAGCTTCCAAGGACAGATGTCCATCAGGAGCCGCGGGAGGGTGTCGGGTCAGGACTGGAGACGTGGCCTCAGCACAGCCAGGCTCCCACCAGGGCTTAGCTGGAGTCCCCTGGGGAGAGAGGAGGGCTGGGCGCTGACCAGCAGAGGATGGGCCAGTATAGACGGAGCGGGAGGGGCGGGTGGGGAATCTGCTGAGGGTGGAGCCAAGTCCCCGTAAACAACACAATTTTTAAAATTAAAATTGAAATTACAAAGCCAGAGTAGATCTTAGACAGTATCTTCTATTTTTATTTTTGAGTGTTATTTATTAAGTTTTGAGACAGAGACAGAGAGAAAATGCAGATAGTGACTGCTGAGAGATTTTAAACTGGATGTGCTGACTGTTGTGAATTCATAATGACTTTGTCCCAGAGACTGATGTTTCTGACAGACTGATGTCCATGTGGGGAGCCTGGGGTCTGTGTAGGGAGGCCAAGGAGATGAGGCTGAGTGGGACTGGAACACAGGTTGGACCCATTTAAATACTAAGGTCCCCCTTGATTTATCAGATCTGTGTCTTCTGGTGAACTTGTGCTCAAGATGTTCGCATACAAACACCGATGTCGGCTAAATCCGTCCCTGCTCAGAGCAGTCAGAGGGGGAGGGGCGGGACCAGGTGCAGGTTCCACACTCACATCAGAGGTGTCGCCAGGGGCTGGATTCCTTGCTGCTTCTAATTAAATCTCCATCCTGACCTGGCCTGGCGTGCGGACCTCAGTGTAGACAGGATGGAGTGGGGTCTCCTGTTCTAAATGTGCTTTACCTGATCTCTGGAACGCAGACAAAGGAACAGGGAGGCCCCAGAGGGACCCCACAGATGCTGTGCTGCTCACATGACCTCCCCCCAACAGCACCCAGCACTGCATGGACCCCGTGTTAATACTGCATGTCTGAGGGGCGCCTGGGTGGCTTAGTCGGTTAAGCGTCCGACTTTCGCTTGGGTCATGATCTCACGGTTCGTGGGTTCGAGCCCCGCGTCGGGCTCTGTGCTGACTGCCGGCTCGGAGCCTGGAGCCTGTTTCAGTCTGTGACTCCCTCTCTCTCTGACCCTCCCCTGCTCACGCTGTCTCTCTCCTTCTGTCTCTCCTAGAAGTGAATAAAACATTAAAAAAAAAAAAATACTGCATGTCTGAAAGGGATACAAACACGAGGCCAGAAACTGCAGATGAGTGGGTTTGACCAACTCACACCCAGGCTCACAGGGATGGGGGGGGACCCAGCCTCACCTTGTCCCTGCCGTCCTGGGGCATCGGCCTGCTCAGCTCTGCATAGTGGACGCCACCATCACGGTCCCTGTGCTTCTCCTGTGACCCAGCACCTGAGCCCCACACACATGGAGCTGAATCTGAGCCTTGAGAACCTTGCCCTCCCCCCACCATGACCCCCACAGTGATGCCCACACCCACCAGCCTCCAGGGGGACATTCCCTGAGCAGCAAAATGCAGGGGAGGGAGCTGAGGGTCAGTGGGCATGGGGGGAAAGAGTGTGGGCAGGGGAAGGAGAAGAGCACCTGCCTCTCCCAGGCTCCAAGCTCTTCCTCTCCCCACGTGAGCGCCGCAGGTACAGGCCAGCCCGAGGATCAGCATCACGACCACAAGAGCCCCCAGGATGGCTCCCAGGTGGGCAGCACCGGCCTGTCTGTGTGGATGTGTTTCTCCCTCTCAGGGACGGTGAAGAAGGAAAAGACAAGGGACAACATCAGACGCCCATTGCCAAGCACGTGGAGGTAGCTGAAGGGACGGGTCTCAGCTGGAGAGGGGGGAGGTGTATAGACAGGTCAGCGGCTGCTCCCACAGGGCCCTGTGCCAAAGGGGCGGAGGGTCCTAGTCAAGGTCAGTACGTGATGGATGTGAATCAAGCAAATGAAACTGTGTGCCGCAGGGTCACAGCCGTGGGACAGCTGCAGAAAAGGGATCCCTAGGGGGGAGGAAGTGGAGACAGGAGACACCGAACTTGGAAAATTTGAGGGTGGGGGGAACGGCCTGATGAGTTTTCAGACTGAGGAGAGCAGGACACACCCGGGAACCCAGGCGAGCACGTGGGGGGGACGTGTGTCCCTGAGGCCAGAACCGGGCACAGGAGCCCCGAGCCCTAAGCCATGCAGGCAGGGGTCCCTCTGGCTCACCTGGGGAGCCTCCCTCAGGTGTCACAGACCACTGACTCACCCCTACTCACTTTCCTGAAAGCCTCCTGAGACACACAAGGACTGAGGGATGAGGGAGGGGAGAGGTATGGAGGGGGGCTGCCCGGAGCAGCAGGGGTGAGGGGTGCCGAGGAGCAGGAGAAGACACTGAAAGGCAGAAGCAAGTTGGATGCACCTGCCAGCCTCCTGGACGGGGTGACAGGGGGCAGGTGGTGACATAAACATGGGGGACAGAACCCAGAACCCTCACCAGGGGGACCTGAACCCCGGGAGTCCCCTCCCCTCAGGCAGGAACACTCACCGTGGACACAGACTTCCCCGAGGTCCCGGGTGGCACTTTTCTGGTCCACCGGGATGCTGACCACACAGGTGACCCTGGGGCTGGGCTGGCTCAGGGGCAGGATCAGAGCCAGGGTCCAGGGGTTGGGGGCCTGTCCTGGGGCCCCTCTCTGCTCCAGCTCCCTGGGGAGGCCCTTGCTCTCCCAGGACACGTTCACGGCCTCTGTGGCTCCCGGGGTGTGGCACTCCAAGGTGACGTGGCACCAGTCTCGTGTGAGGGACAGGATCTCTGCCAGGACCTGGGTACGGGGCACGGGCTCTGGGCAGAAGGGACAAAGGACAGGGTGTCCCGTGAGTGGAGAGCATCACACTCCTGCTTCCTCTTGTGAATCTCACTAATGCTCTGGCTCCTCCCCGGAGGACGGTGAGTCCATTTTACAGATAAGATAGACTTGCCCAAAATATACAGCAATTGATGATAAGGAAGTGCCGGGATCATTAGTGGCATCCTTTCCTATGCAATAATAAGGCAATAATAGTAACTGGGCAATTCTCTGGTCCTTAAAAATTTGCTTGGTGGAAGAAGGAGGAGAGACCAGCACCTTGATCTCTCCCTGATAATCAGCGTCAACCACCCCAGGGATTATGGTGATCCCCTGAAGGGAGATGGAGCTCCATCCCAATATTAGTCCCACTACCCCAGGGGGTAGGGGCCCCTTTACACTGGTGGGAGTAGTTATCGGAGGTGAATCAGGGGTTAGTATTGTGCTGGTGGTGGAACGGAGGTCCAGTCCTGCGCTGCCTGGGGTTGCTCTATAGAGCTCAGAGACTGGCTGAAATTGGCGAATGGGCTGAGCAGGCTGAGGGATGTCACCCCAATTAGTGTCGGGGCCTGGGGCTGGCCCCTCATTCCGTTTCCCTGGTCCTGAGATATTTGGAGATTGGTTCCCAGTGGTTGGCCATTTTTGTGAAATTTAGATTTACAAGCTTTGCCCCAGTGAAAGCCCTTTTGACACCTAGGGCACATAGTCCTGGGCTTGTTGTTTTTGCTTATCACCTGAGAAACAGGTGCAGTTGGCAGAGAGGTAGTTGCCTTTTTTGTGGGGCAAAACCTACTGAAATATCCCATTTGCCCACAAGAATAACAATTAAACCTTGAGGAAGGTTTTTTGCTCTTAGTACTTCCTGACTGCCCTAAAGACCTGACATATTGAGGGTATGTTTCTCCCTTTAAAGCTGCTGCGATAGCCACGCCCTGGATAAAGGCAGGACTTACATCTGCGCATTGTTTGACATAATCAGTTAAGGTGCCCATTTTTCTTATGGGTCGTAATAAAGATTGGCAGGTAGAAGAGGTGTTTTCAAATGCTAGTTGTGTAATGAGAATGTCTGCTGCCTCATCATTAGTTATCACTCTTCTAACAGCTTGTACGAGTCTAGATACAAAATCCTCATAGCTTTCATCTGATCGTTGTCGGATTTCTCCCAAGGTAGCGGCCCTGCCTGTTGCAATTGGCAAAGCTCTCCATGCGTTATAGGCACAATCAGTGACCTGCTGTAAGGCGGCCTTGTCAAGATAGATACATTTGAGCTTGAGCAGTGTCAAAATCACCCTCGCCTAGGAGTTTATCGAGGGTAATGTCTCTCCTATTAATCCTTTTATTTATGGCTACTCTTTTTCTAGAGAGGTCATCATATTCCACTTTCCATACCAGGTAGTGGCCTCCTGACAGACAGGCTTTTGCAACTTGAATCCAGTCATAAGGTGTCATCCAGCGAGATACTAGGGCCTCTAGCAATGTGAGTGTATAGGGAGCAAGTGGCCCATATTCGGTACAGGCAGTTTTTGGTTCCTTAATAATCTTATAGGGAAGAGGTTCCCAAGAAGGGTCATCATCAAATTCTCCTCGGAGAGCAAAGGGGAAGCAGCGAACAAAGTCTGTATCTCCCTCCTTTTCCGCCTCCCTAACGGTGGCTTTGAGCCCTACTCCTTTTGAAAATGGCATGGGAGGGAGCGGTCCAGATGGAGGGAAAGTCCCTGTAGTCTGAACAGGGAAAGCCCAATTGTCTGATGTTAAATTTGAAACCTTCCTAGTGGTGGAATTGGGGACAGTCCCTGAGTCCACCTTATTATCATTCTGGGAGGCGATGGGCTTGAAGACTCCCGAAGTATCTTTTGAGGGGTCTAACTCCCTTTTTAAAATGGTTAATAGAGAAAGAATTTCAACCGGGATTTTTTGAGGACATTGTCTAATTTCGTACTCAACTTTATTCCAGATATCTATATTAAATAGTTCCTTCCTCAGGGAACCAGAGGCACAGTTTTTTAACAAAACGTAAAAATCGAGCAATTTGTTGAAAGGATACCTTTGCCCCTCTTTTTGCAAGCAGATTCTGTATCACATCTACAAAGAGCCTCCTTTCCTTAGACTCTTTATGGCCCATACCTTCTCAAAAAGAGTTCTTTGATTCTCCACCAACTAACCCTACTGATCTTATGCAGGGGGGTCCGCGGCACCCTATGGTGGAATCCTAACCGTCCCAACTAATGCAACAAAAAAAAACATAATTTAAAGAGATTACCTTCAGGCCCGCTGTTGGGGCGCCACTTTGTCGGAGGCTGAGCCGGCTCCAGCAGGTCCAGGGGTCCCTGAAGGATGGACAGTGTCAGCGAGAGAGAGCGAGAGAGCCCCGAGATTCTTTCCGATCACCAGGCAGGCATCTCTGTCCTGTCGGTTTTGGTGTCTTTATTTAAAAGTTCAGCAATAACATGAAGTCAGAGAAAGGAATTTCTTACAATGGGAGGCCTTTTGTGATATCAATTGCAGAATTATTCCGACCAAGGAAATAACAGAATGCTCTTAGTGAAAAACAGGATAACATACAAGTTAAATTGTATATAGATAAGCTAGGAGTTATTCTGTCTGGCTCTCAAGAGGATAAATGTTTCTGAATTGGTTTATTTGTGGAAACTAACATGGGGACCCTAAATGTGTCAGTCTATGAACCTGAGTTTATGTTTTAGCTACTCTTATCTATCCTCATCCCAGATGCCAGAGTAAGGGAGGGAGTTTGTGGAATGTAGGCCTTGAGGAAGGGACTGCCATGCTTCACCAATTAGCAAAGATATATGTAGTAACTGTGTTCTGCCCTTAACCCCAAAATAGGCTCTTTGTCTCAGGGCCAGGCTCAATTGTAACTCTTGTGTTCTTAACCCCCTTTATTATCTAAGTCTTGGATCAGCAAGGCCCATAGGAAGAGCCTTTTGACAATCGCCCATCGAGCTTTCATCTAAAGTCTCTTTTGTAAAGGCAGGAATATGCTTTTCCTTATGAGGTATCTGTGTTCAGAATATGGGTCTGATATGGAATATTGTGAGGCCTGGTCAATACCAGCAGGCTTATTTCCAACACGAGCCAGTACCAGCAGAAGGAGATACCAGTTTTCATTTCTCATGGCAGGAGCTGCAAACATTGCCACTTCCTTGCTGTGACTGCCATCCAGAGAGGCCGGTGCGACTCCCGGCAAGAAAGGAGCCACTGACTGAAGCCCCAGGTGATTTCACTAGACTGAGCACGACTGAAAATCTCCCAGGAAAAATTACTTACGTGACCCCACCTACCAGAGTCCATTACTTCTAAGACAGTGAGGAGTCTTCCGGAAAACACAGAGCCTGGGACTGAATGTTCTGGCCCCAGCCCCCCTCCTCCTGCTCCCATGGATGTCGGGACCACACCACCTGAGGTGCGAAGGCCACCTGGCAGCTCTGGTGCCCAGAGAATGTCCCAGGCTCCCAGCAGGAGAGGCCGCAGTGGGGGACGCAGTGGGGCTGGAGGAATGGCCAGAGAGAGCCTGGTTAGGATTTGCCGTCCACACAGAAGACGAGAGACAGGCTGACAGGCAGTGTGGGAACCTCAGGGACCTGAGGCTGCAGGAGCCGCTCTCCTCTGGAGCAGGATGTCTCCCTCCACAGGCGGGTCAGAGACAGAGACAGAGGGAGGTGCTGACTGCATGTCTGAGGAAGCGCCGTCCTGTGAGCATCAGGGGGCGCTGCTGACAGGCCCTGCTCCTGCTGAGGCTGATTCAGGGACCCCCTGGCCCAGCGCCCTGACTGCAGCCCACCCCCTGCGCAGGGCGCTTCCCAGCCTCGCTGCCCAGGTCTCCATGTCTGTTTCTGGTTGGGCCCCGGAGAAAGCCCTGAGGGCAGCCAGCCCGGATTGCAGGGGCAGCGGGGTGGGGAGGGGGGCGATGAATAAGGGCGACCCCAGGGCTGCCTGGACAGGAGCTGGGTGCACAGTGAGCGTGTCTCCCGCGCTCCCTGGGGGGCCCTTGCCTGTCCCTCTGGTGTTTGCTGCTGCGGGTCCCCAGGGGCTCATTGTGAGACAGGTTAGGGCAGGGGGTAGGGGTGAGGGCAGAGCAGAGAGCAGGGAGGAGTGGGGGTGAGAGGCCTCACTTAACCTTCCAGAGACACTAGGAAGATGCCGTGGCCCCACCCCCACTCACAGGGTGTGTCCCCCTCCAACTGCAGCAGCCCCATGGAGGGGAAACTGAGGCACCAGAGGAAAGGACCAGCTGCCAGGGACCCTCTAACCCCACACCAATTCCTGGGGGCCTCAGGATGAGCCCCGTGGGGAGATGCCCCCTCCCCCCTGCTCTGTGGACACACTGGGGGTGCAGGAGGGAGGGAGAAGTGTGTTGCTGCCACACCCCCCTTATCAGCACTGCAGGTCCAGGCTGCACCCCTGGACACACACCTGCTGGGAGGGCAGAGAGACCCAGACACCCTGCACCTCCCTGCTGGACAGCTGACCACAGGGACAGTCAGGACAGGGCGCTGCAGGCGGGGCTCAGCCTGGGTCTCTCCCACCCATGACCCTCAGGGGCTCCATCTCTCTCCTGCCCCCACCCCACCTAGCTCTCTAGGCCTCTGGCCTCACCCCCCAGACCTGAAGAGCAGAGGTCAGTGTGAGTCCCCAGATGACCAGGGAAACAGGTCAGAGCGACAGTTTGCTCACATTCACTGGCCTGAGGCCAAGAATAAGGCAGTGATCAGCCTGAACGTGCTGTGTGTCCAGAGCATCCAATGTCCCAGGACCAGAGAGTCCATAGCTGAGGGTGGGGTGTCCTCAGGACCTACGTCTTTCCTCTTCAAGTTTATCCATCCCCTGCCTGGATGCTGCTGAGAGGTCAGCCTCCCAGTTTCCCTGAGCCAGGAAGGGGGCACCCACAGGCCAGCCCCACAGGTAGATCCTAGGGACGAGGCAGCACCAGGTACTAGTCTGGGTTCTGGACCTGCAGGTTTGCAGACAGGAAGGAGGCTGGAGCTGTGCACTGAAGTAGGACTGGGGTTCAGTGAGGAGGTCGTGCAGAGAGAGGGCAGATTTCAGACACACCGGCTGACCGTGGTGTGGACGCCAGAGCAGAGCAAACAAAGAAGCAAAGGGGACTCCAGGTGTTTGGCTGAAGCGAGTAAGTGGATGGTGGGACCTGATCTAGGTGGAAATATGATCAGAGCCAAGCGAGAAGCCAAGGAGGGTGGGGAGTGGGTGCCCAGGAGGCAAGAATTCAATTTCCTGCAAGTCCACTCTGGCTTCCAAGAGCAGATGATCATCAGGCAGCCGCGGGAGGGTGTCGGGTCAGGACTGGAGAGGCGGCCTCAGTACAGCCAGGCTCCCATCATCAGGCAGCCGCGGGAGGGTGTCGGGTCAGGACTGGAGAGGCGGCCTCAGTACAGCCAGGCTCCCATCAGGGCTTAGCTGGAGCCCCCTAGGGAGAGTAGGTGGCTGGGAAGAGAGGAGGGCTGGGTGCTGACCAGCAAAGGATGGGCCAGTATAGACGGAGCGGGAGGGGTGGATGGGAAACCTGCTGATAGTGGAGTCAAGTCACAGTAAACAGTACACTTTTTTAAATTAAAATTTAAAACCAGAAAGCCATAAAAGGTCTTAGACATTTTGTCTATTTTTTAAAAATGATTATTTATTTAGTTTTGAGAGAGAGAGAGAGAGAGAAGAACGCACATACTGACAGCAGTGTGATGTTAAACTAGTCGAGGTTGGATTTTGTGATTTCATGATGACTGTGCCCCACAGGCAGAGGGCTCATGACATGTGGCCCATGTGGGGAGCCCGGGGTCCGTGCAGGGAGGCCAAGAAAAAAAGAAAAAAAGGAAAAGAAAAAAGGATTGGATGGATTTGCATAAGCAGTTTCCCATTCACTCGCCCACAACATGTGGCTTCTGCTGAACTTGTGCATAAGGAGTTCGTGTAGAAATGGACCGATGTCAACTAAATCCATCCCTGCTCAGAGCAGTCGGGGGGGAGGGGCGGGACCAGGGTGCAGGCTTCACACTCACATCAGAGGTGTCGCCAGAGGCTGGATTCCCTGCTTCCTCCAATTAAATCTCCGTCCTGACCCGGCCTGGCGTGCGGACCTAAGTGTAGACAGTGGTGAGAGGCCTCTCCTGTTCTTGATGTGGTTCCTGCAATCACTGGAATGTGGACAGAGGGTTCCTGCCACAGCTGAGGGACAGAGAGGCCCCAGATGGACCCCACAGATGCCGTGCTGCTCACATGACCTCCCCTCACAGCGCCCAGCACTGCATGGACCCGTGTTAATACTGCATGTCTGAAAGGGATACAAACACGAGGCCAGAAAGTGCAGACGAGTGGGTTTGACCAACTCACACCCAGGCTCACAGGGACGGGGGGGACCCAGCCTCGCCTTGTCCCCGCCGTCTCCAGACTCTTGATCTTCCTTCCGAACGCCATCTTCAGGAATTAAGTCTGGAAAACCAAAAATGGTTCTGAGTCACACACAGAATGAACTTGAATCTGAGCCTTGGCAACTGGTGCCCCCCCAACATGACACCCCCTGGTCATGTCCACACCCCCCAGACATCTGTGGGGACGTTCCCTGAGCAGCAAGACGCAGGAGAAAGGGATACAAGGTTCCCAGGGGAAGGAGACGTGCACCTGCTCTCCCAGTCTCTATGTTCTACCTGAAATGTATCGCCAACACGCAGCCTCTAACTCCAATGATCACAACAGGCCCCAAGACGACTCCCAGGATGACAGCAACAGTGAGCAGGATGTTTGCCACATAAATGACACTGTCCTGTCCGTGTGGATCTGTTTCCGTCTCACAAAAACAGTGAAGAAGAGTAAGACAAGAGACAACGTCAGACGCCCATTGCCAAGCACGTGGAGGCGTCTGAAGGGACGGGTCTCAGCTGGAGAGGGGGGACATGGCAGGTGCTTTCACCAACCAGTTCTGAGCCCTGCTGGGGGCCGGGTGCTGAGAGGAACAGGACAGGGTCCCCGCGCTGGAGGAGCTCGTCAGTGGGGGAAGGTGGTGACATAGACATGGGGGACAGAACCCGGAACCCTCACCAGGGGGACCTGAGCCCCGGGAGTCCCCTCCCCTCAGGCAGGAACACTCACTGTGGACACACACTTCCCCGAGGTCCCGGGTGGCACTTTTCTGGTCCACCGGGTTGCTGACCACACAGGTGACCCTGGGGCTGGGCTGGCTCAGGGGCAGGTTCAGAGCCAGGGTCTAGGGGTTGGGGGCCTGTACTGGGGCCCCTCTCTGCTCCAGCTCCCTGGGGAGGCCTTTGCTCTCCCAGGACACGTTCTCGGCCCCTGATGTTTCCAGGGCATGGCACTCCAGGGTGACATTGCACCAGTCTCGTGTGAGGGACAAAATCTCAGCCAGGACCTGGGGACGGGACACAGGCTCTGGGGCAGGAGGGACAAAGGACAGGGTGTCCCGTGAGTGGAGAGCATCACACTCCTGCTTCCTCTTTCGAATCTCACTGACGCCCTGGCTCCTCCCCCAGAGGACGGTGAGTCCATTTTACAGATAAGACAGACTTGCCCCAAATATACAGCAAGTGACGATAAGGAAGGAGCCACTGAGTGAAGCTGCATGTGATTTCTCTAGACTGAGCTCGGAGAAAATACATAGTCGACCCCACCTGCCCAAAACCCATGATTCTACCACAGTGTGGTGGCCTCTATGAGACAGTCTGGGACAGAAGGATCTGTCCTGTTCTGGTCCCGTCTCACCTCCCCCTGCTCCAATGGTCGCCAGGACCTCAAAGCCCAAGGTGCAGAAGGGCCCCTGCAGCTCTTAGTGCCCAGAGACCAGCCCCAGGCTCCCAACAAGAGAGGCGGCTGTGGGGGGTGCAGGGGGCCCCAAGGAATTGCCACCCCAACCATGCTTAGAACGTGCACTGAACTTGCCATCCACATGGGGGACAAGAGACAGGCTGACAGGAAGTCTGGAAACCTCACAGACCTTAGGCTGCAGGAACCGCTCTCCCTGGAGCAGGATGTCTCCCTCCACAGGGGGAGTCAGAGACAGAGACAGAGAGAGATGCTGACTGCATATCTGAGGAAGGGCCGCCCTGTGAACATCTCCTGTGTCCCTGGAGGTTCAGAGCTGCACCAGGGAGTCTGGGAGTGGGGGTGGCCTCGGGCTGGTGCTGAGAAGGAGGAGACAACAGAGTAGAGAAGACCCTACATAGGTTGAGGATTGTGCCTGGTGACCAGTGTCCCCAAAGTTGACCACGTGCTACCCCTCAGAGCCTGCAGGTGTCTTAGGGTCCATGATGAAAGGAAACTGAGGCTGTGAATCAGGTGACCCTAAATTAGGGACTGTCTGGATCCCCGACGAGTCTGGTGGATCATAGGGTCCTCACATGTGGATGGAGAGGGAGAGGAGGGGGGAGGGATGCAGTGCGGTTAGACTCAGCACACCACGACCAGCTTTGCAGGTGGAGGAAGGGGCCACCAGCCAAGGATGCAGCCACCACTACAAGGAGATGTGGATCCTCCCCTGGAGCCTCCAGAAAGGAGCACAGCCTTGCGGACACATGACCCTCATCACAGTGGCCCCGGGTCTGACCCTGACCCACACACAGGTGCACACGCGGTTGGGGCCGCACTAAGACACCTGTGGGTCCATCTGTGACAGCAGCAACAGCCGCCACCACACCAGTTAAGGACACGTGTCCCATGAGCACAGCCATGGTTCCAGCAAAACCCCACATCCCCACGTTTCCCTTTTCTTTCCTGAAGCACCGAGGGATCCACCCCTGCTGGGAGTCTCAGCCCCGCCTCCACTCGTGCTGAACACGCTGCTTCTGATTTCAAGGGAGAAGCAGAGCCTGAAGTCTGGGGTCTGGAACGGATTCTCTGAGGGGCCCATGGACACTCCCAGGGACTAGAGAAGGGGGTGGTATGTACTGGGAGAGGGGCCACCACATACCGTAAACACTGAGGTCAAAATACTGGGCATTTTCTATTCCTCCTGTTAAGGACACTCGAGCCCAGTACCGTCCACTGTCCTCAAGGGTCAGCTTGTCAATCCTCAGGGTCGTTGTGTTGAGCATATGGACTCTCTTCTTGTATTTGTCCTGGAGGTTGACCCATTCTAGAACATGTATCCTGGGAGAGACATGCAGCATGGCTACGTCTTTTGATCCGGATTCAATGCCCCAAGAAATCTTCTCCAGGATGATTTCTGGAGGTAATTTTGGTTTAATGGCCACATGAAACAACACAGAACCTCCTTGAATCCCCTTCAGAAAAACTAGGTTTCCAGAATCCTCCACTCTAGATCCATTGACCTCAGAGCCCCTGGCTGCAGTGCTGAAGGTGCCTAGGGTATTGGAAACACAAAGTGTGAGTGTGTTTCATTAAGAACGAGAAGAAAACCATAGACCCCATCATGGTAATGAACTCCAACCAGTGGATCCCTTGACTCTGGGGGGCGGGACAGAGCGTGACCTAGATCGAGCCTGGAATCATGTCCTGGTCCTGGACGGGCGTCCCCTTGAACACAGTCCTGAACTTCTCACTTGAGTGTCCTCACCACCTGATGCTGAGAGGCTGGATGTGATGACATCACGAATGGAAAGCACTGAGCACATTTCGGTCAATGCCAAGTGCGCAAGTGTAGGAGGAGCTTCCTCTGTGGCTGCAGAGGCCCCACCGCCCACACGCCGTGGGAGCCCTGGCCCTGCAGCGGGGGCCGCGCCCTGTGACTTGCTCTGAGGAGCAGAGTTCAGCTACAGTGATGGGCGTCACTCAGTGACAGCAGGTCTCACAGAAGTGTGACTTCTGTCTCGCTCACACCCAGTCTCTCGCTGCTGGGATGAGCCTGCTACCATGTTAGGGCTGCGCCGTGGGGACGCCCACATGGCCAGGATAGCGGGCAAGCTCGGGCCAACACTGAGAAGAGGGAGGCCTCAGTCCAGCCCCAGGATCTGCTCTCCCCCCCCAAGTGCCGGGGAAAGGGGGAACGACACCATCCCCATTGGCCTTGAGCTCCCTCAGCTCCACACAGACCTGGATTTCAGACCGAGAGGCCTGGGGACTCAGCCCCCAGTGTAGTCGCCCCAGATCCTGACCTGCACAGGCTGGAAGTCCCCATTGCATGTTTCAAGGACCAGGGAATGGCAGGGGATGCAGTAGCAAGTGACACGGTGGGCACTGACGGAGGTGGGTCCCAAACCCACTGTGCAGTGAGGCTACAGGACAGGCCTTCTCCCAGTCCCTCCAGCCTCCCATGCAGGTCTGGGGCTCCCACCCCGGGCCCAGCACCCCTTATCCATCAGGCCACAGGCCCTCAGCACCTGCATCAGGGGGAAGGTGGTCACCCCGTCCCTGCCCCGGGCCGGCCAGGAGAGTGACAGGGACTCAGCCCTCAGCCCCCTGCCGGCCCCTCCTCCGTCCCTTCCCTCCAGAGGTCACCGTCCTCTGACCCCCAGTGCAGGACGAGGTCGGGGCAGACACGTGCCCTGGGTGCAGGACCCCCCCCCCCGACATGGCACAGACCAGGTGCACGGAGACGGCAGGGGACACGGCCCCCAGGTCCCTCTAAGCAAGTCAGGACACGAATGTCCCGGTTCCCCACGGCACCGCTCTTCATCCCTCCCATCAGACACTGGTCACAAACTTGATTTTGGATCTCAGCCTCCAGGACTGTAAGACACAACTTGATATGGTTTCAGCTCCCGGGTCTATAGGATCTTGTTCCCACAGCCCCAGAATCTGTTCCAGGAGCCCAGGCTCGGGGTCCAGCACCTGGGGCCCCGTGAGGGCTCCTGGGACCCAGGCCTGGCCTCATGGGCGGCAAATCAATGAGTCATGAGCTCTGGGATGACACAGACCCACGTTCAAGTTCCAGAGCCGCCCTTTACTGGCTGAGTGGCCTTGGAGATTTCCCAAACTGTCTAACCTGAGGCCCCACGTGTGAAGCAGGGGACACGAGAGTGTGAGTGCAGGGGGCTCCTGGGGTGTAAACACGACACAGCAGAAGAAGCACCAGCCGTCTCAGTCCGTGGTCCCTTCCGTCCCTGTTCCTAGGACCTGCTGCCCTGCACTTCTCTCTGGCGGCTGCACCCCAGATGCCGCCCGGCCTGAGACAGCAGGACCCCGTCCCCCATGACAAGATCCAGTCCCTACGGGTCAGCTGCTCCGTCACAGTCCGAGAGGGAAGGGTCCCCAGGACGGCCCTCAAGGCCAGCAGCCTGCGGAGGATTATCCTCCACTCGAAGGACAAGAGGCTGCGTTTCGGCCACACTCGCATCTCTCACTTTGGTGGATGGTGAGCAGACCGTACACGCACACACAGGAGGCGATGGGGATCGACACGCAGTCTGGCCCGGACCTCGGACCCGCTGCGCACTCCCCTCCACAGACATGGCTGTTCCATCGTGCGTGTCCCTCCAGGACCCTCCTGTGTCTCCTGTGCCAGACCACACGTCACACACGCTGCGCCTGCCTTTCCCTGGACCACTCGGACAGGGGTCCACACTGCGTCTGCACACGTGGACACGCCTCACTTCCCAGCTGCACAGGGTCCCACGTGGGGCTCACGTTGTCTCCACGTGTGACAGGAGCTCGGCTGTGGCTCTTGTCTCTGCAAACACTGTGGCACCGAGAGGCCACAACTGGAGTCTGCAGATGCAGGTGTAGTGATGTGACATGTGGAAGCGTGCACGCCAGGGTCAGTGTACCTGTCACACACAGTACGTATACTGCACAGTTGGGGACACACAGGTCACTCACGGGCATATACGCCCCATGCCTGTATATATCCGTCACACACAGATGCACATATGTCACACATTGGTTTGTCCAATAGACCAAGGGAGGTACATCCACGTGGGACGGACCTGGGCCAGTGTCCTCCTGAGGGTGACCGTAGCCGCACCTCTGTCAACAAGGATTGGGCTTCCCCGCCACAAAACTGAAGAGGGAACCTTACATCACATTACATGTTAATGGGTGTCTCTCCTGCCATGAACCTGACCATCCTGTCCCATCACTGCTTTGACCTCCTTTTCTGTTGGCTGGGAGCTGTCTGCTTGTGTCCTTTGCTTATCATGTTCCCCTTAGTTTATAGGAGCCACACCTGTTGTAAG